ATGTCAACATATAAACTTTTACGCATTGAGGAGTTGTTGCACTCTCAATGTTTGCTATAGAAAACACTATAAAGTTACCTCAATCAGCGCAATAATATGTTTATGGAAAGTCACATACAGCAATATACAAAAGCAATTAATGATGCAAAAAGGTGAACGCTTTGAAATGTTTACAGTGTCAAATTTAAATGAGTATATAACGACATACCTAGACCTTGTATTAACTAGTTACACCGTAAACTGTATACATCCGATTATTCTATTGGCTTTACATACAAGCTTACACAATATCAGGTTATCGTACCACCGTCTCAAATATCATTACCTACGGTATTCAGACGTATCATGAGTTGATATTATTAATTTCATTCTCGTTTCAACTATTTAAAGAATGAATAAAAGAGAATAGGCAAAGGCTTAACAAGACTACTCGTAATGTAAAACCGTCAACAGAGGTCGTTTTCATTTGGTCCCCTTTCATTGGAGTGTTTTTGTTTCATTTGTAAACAGTATTGTCCGTTTTAAACCTATAAAAGATACTTACAGAACAGCAATCAAAAGTGTTTTAATGTTTCCCTTAATGTTTTATAGAAACTAGAGCACCGTATAACCATTTTTAATTGTAATTATTAGGAAACACGACGGAAGTTCAAATAATTGGTTCTGTATCTTTGTACAATAGTTATCAGAAGATGCCTCTTAAGGAAAAGACTTTTTAAAGTCCGTCAAATAGTTTTAATATTTGTTCTTGTTATTTTGTAAGTTTGTAACGTGATAAAGGGCTTTACAGGTACCTGGTTCTGCTGTAATTCTCCGTATGTTTCGGAACACATGGAGATGTCGATTTTCATTCCTGTTAACTGTAGTACCACTGAGGAATCCTAAAAGGACAAACTTGTCATCTAATGCAACAGAGCTTGGCTTTCTTTGGTCTTGACTCTCTGTTCAGCAGCTAGAACATGTCAAGTTCACGATCAGATTATTCCGCCGAACTTACCGCGAAAGTTTTAGCGATTGTGTTTGTTTATTTGTTAAAGGGACATCACGGTGAAGTGTGTGGTTTTTCTTTCTTTCAAATACTACATAAACATATCAAGTAAGCCTCCTTATGGAAAATAACAATCGGATTTGGCCGATATATGTTCATAAAAATGAATAATTTTAAGATAAGCATCGTGATTTTTACCTGTCTGACCAACGTTTTGTTCAGCGATTTTCCTCTACTAGAGCATGCGTATATCACACCATTTCATTGTAGACAAAATGACTGGCCGTGGGAAGCACGGATCGTTACCGCGTCAGCTACGAAGCGCAAAGTTGCCAAATGATTACTGCAGGTGGGAAGTATTGAAAGGAGAAAATAACTGCCCTAGAAGTTAGTACGGTGCATTTATAATTACGGAGAGCCGGTTAAAGCTGAAATGAAATCGACAAAAATGCTGTTTATGTTATGAATAAATATCTTAAACTATTAACCTCGCTAGTAATTTTGTCTGAGTTGGAACACAGATGAACTTATTTTGTTATGTTTATAGGCATGCATCGGAGAGAGTTTACTTGCGTATTCTAAATAGGTATTACTTCCTTCCTGTTTTCAGTGACTATGTGACACTGGAATGTGTCTGATCATATGAATTAAACCTCCATGTACGGGTTCAAAGGAAATATATTGGAGTTATTCTCTAGTCCTGATTTAGCTGTCACTAGTGACGGCCTACCACAGCCGAAATGTAATGGTCTCAGTCATACACACGTTATTCTCTAGTCGTGATTTAGCTGTCACTAGTGACGGCCTACCACAGCCGAAATGTAATGGTCTCAGTCATACACATAAGTTATTCTCTGGTCGTGATTTAGCTGTCACTAGTGACGGCCTACCACAGCCGAAATGTAATGTTCTCAGAGATACACATAAGTTATTCTCTAGTCCTGATTTAGCTGTCACTAGGGACGGCCTACCACAGCCGAAATGTAACGGTCTCAGTCAAACACAGCATGTAATTCTCTAGTCGTGATTTAGCTGTCACTAGTGACGGCCTACCACAGCCGAAA